ACTCATTTAACATTCAGCTATGGTGGGCTATGGCTTCTTCCTTGATAGCTAAATTTTATTAGAAAGTGGGATCAAAATAAACTTTCCTTTTCTTCTTGGTGGGTTCTCAGTTATCATACTTCTCTAACAGTTTTCATGCATTTCTCAACCTTTCTCTCTTGCTCCTTCAATCTTTTTTCTTCTGTTCACATATCTCCTCTACCTCCCTTCCTAATAATACTACTTTTCTCATCTGACTCAGATTTCTGGGAGAGGTTGGTTAGGATTCACTAGCATACCAGGGGTCAATAAATGCTCTCAGGGCCAAGGGAAGGATGTGCACAGGCCCCTCCCATCATTTAGTAACACTGTGCCCATGAAGACTACTTTGCAAGGTTCAAAATGTCTGCTCTCTGCGGCTCCCAGTTTTAGCTTTCACCTTACTAACTAGTTGGCAACATCAGGAGTCACTTGCTCTTTACCTTCCTGAAGTAATTCTGTTGCTCTTGGGCTGACCTCATATTGCACCACTTTGATTCCCTATATGTCCTCCTGCTGGTCATCCTCTAGGGGTTGGAATTCTCCAAAGTTCCAGTCTCAATGTTCCATTTGCTATACAATTCCCTATAATGACCTAGCCTACTCAAACAACTGACCATCTATTTGTCAACAATTCCCAAATCTCTGTCTCCTGGGTAGAACTTGACTCCACAACCAGATATCCAACTGACCTCTAATCCAACCACCAAACCCTATCCCTTATGGCAGAAAAAGAAGAACTAAAGAGCCTCTTGATGAAAGTGAAAGAGGAGTGTGAAAAAGTTAGCTTAAACCTCAACATTCAGAAAACTAAGATCATGGCATCCAGTCCCATCACTTCATGGCAAAAAGATGGGGAAACAGTGGCTGACTTAATATTTTTGGGCTCCAAAATCACTGCAGATGATGACTGCAGCCATGAAATTAAAAGAAGCTTATTCCTTGGAAGAAAAGTTATGACCAACCTAGACAGCATATTAAAAAGCAGAGACATTACTTTGCTAACATAGGTCTGTCTAGTCAAGGCTATGGTTTTTCCAGTAGTCATGTATGGATGTGAGAATTGGATTATAAAGAAAGCTGAGCGCCGAAGAGTTGATGTTTCAGAACTATGGTGTTGGAGAAGACTCTTGCACTGAAAGGAGATCAAACCAGTCGATTCTAGAAGAAATCAGTCCTGGGTGTTCATTGGAAGGACTGATGCTGGTGCTGAAACTCCAGTACTTTGGCCACCTGATGTGAAGAACTGACTCCTGGAAAAGACCCTGATGCTGGGAAAGATCGAAGGCAGGAGGAGAAGGGGATGACAGAAGATGAGATGGTTGAATGGCATCACCGACTCAATGGACATGAGTTTGGGTAAACTCCGGGGGTTGGTGATGGGCAGGGAGGCCTGGTGTGCCGCGGTCCATGGGGTCACAAGGAGTCAGACACAACTGAGCGACTGAACTGAAACCCCATCCACTGTGCCCAAACCAGCTCCTCCTGTGCTCCCTCTATCCACCCAGCTTCCCTGGCCAGAAACCTGCACATCTTCTTCAAATCTCTCTGTCCTTTTTTTCCACATCTAAGCAATCAAAAAAATCAGATGGATTCTATGCCCTATTAGCCTCTCTGGAAGCTGTGCCTTCCTTTTTAGGAATTAGAACACAGTAGAAAGAACATGGCCTTTAGGGTTGGACAGACCTGGGTCAAAATCCTGTCTTTGTTACTTATTGGCTATGTGACTTTGGGCAATTCTCTTTTAATTTACCCAAGGCTTAATTTCCTTATCTACAAAATGGGGATAATAGCCTACTTTGGAGAGTTGTGAGGATTGGAAACAATGATGTAAATACCTAGCGCTGTGCTTATCCCATGGTAACACTTAATGGCAGTATTCATCATAATGATGATAATTATTATTTCTGGCTTCTCTGTTATTGCTCTAATCTAGGACATCATCTTCTCTCTCCTGGACAATTGCATCATCCTCATCACTGAACTCTCTGCCTTCATTCTCCATCACCACCCCCTGAAATCTGCTTTTCACAGTTGTTGGGGAGATTTTTCTAAAATGCAGATCTGATCACAATACTTACCTACTTAAAACTCTTCTCTCCCCTGTTCCACCTACCTTTTGCTTCACCCACTCTCATGGGTCTCTAGGCATTACTGTGTTCTGCTGGGTTTCATTCAAGCAGGTACCTCTGCCCTCTGCCTGAAAATCTTCTTTCTCCCCCTTTCTTCACTCCTTTCTGGCAGATCCTCACCCTTCACATCATTGCCAGTGTCTGCCACCCCTCCATGGATGTCTGTTTATTTGGAATTCAACTACCAGCTCCTTGAGGGCAGGGAGTAGTTCTGATGTTTGTGGCCTCTGTCTTCCAGCACAGGACTTGGTGTAGAGAAGGAACAAACAGAATGTCTGCAGAGACTTGTCCAAGGTCTCAGAGTGTGTTGGCAGCAGAGCCAAGGCTTGAACCTAGGTCCTTTGTCTTCCTACCCAGGGCTCTTTCTTCTATGCACGTCATTTTGCCCCAGCAGAGAGAATAGCCCAGGGCTGATGGCTAGAGATGGGGGATAGCCCAGGGATGGAGCATCTCCCCCTGGGAGGACAGCAGGCTATCCAAGGCCACCACACACCCTATCTCAGTGCTGCACCCGGCTGTGGGGGAAGGATGAAATTATCCACTGCCCACGCCCTCTATCTCCCCATCCGACATGAACTGGAGATAAAAAATGAACAACACAAAATCCAATCTTCCTCGGTGCAGAGGCTGGCAGGAGAGTGGTGGGGGTGGGACTGGCAGCCCCAGCAGCCCCTCCTCGCCGAGCACATCTCATATTTATTGGCTCATAATTGAAGGCAGCCTGGAGACATCCCCACACCGGCCCCAGCAAGACAGATGAGGGCACAGTGATGGCTGGGGGATGGAGTCAGGGCACAGACTTCCTCACAGGACTGCAGCCAGGGAGGCGGCACACAGCAGGGGAAGCAGCTAGCTGGCTGCTGCCCTGGCCCCAGGGGTCTGACACAGGCCTGAGGTCTTGCTTCTGCCATCCACTTCTGATGAGCTTCGGTCAGATTCTTCCTTCTCCAGGCCCAGGGTTTCAGGCTTGTGGGTTTTATTACCAGGGTATGCGAGAACTATTCTGGGATTTGGGAAGATCTGGGCTACTACCTTGCTGTGTGGCTTTAGGTGGTTCTCTTTGCCTCTGAGCTATGTGCTTTCTCCTTGTAAAAGACGGAGGGGGTTGAGTTGGACTATAGGCAGCCTTTAAGCATCAGCACTGGAAGACTCCCTGTTGTAGGAAGGCAAAAAAATAAATAAATAAAAATGCTGAGATGCTGCCAAGTATGAAGAAGCTGCTCTGGCCCCTGATGCTCCACATGCCTGGGTTTGGCTTGGCGTCTGAGGTCTGAAGAGAATGCAGAGTCCAGTTTCACCTCTGTAATTTGTGTCGCTGTGGGAGAGGGGCTGGGGCTGGCTGCCAGGCACCTGGGTTTCTGGACTGGTGTCCCCACCCTCCTGCTGCTCCTGACCTGGGCCAGGGCTTTGACGTCTTCAGGTTTCAGATTCCCCATCTGGGAGATTTCTGTTCATGCTTCGGGAGGCATTTGGGGCCCCAAGCCCAGAGCCAGTCAGAGCCATTTCATCAGCCCCCCTTCTAAGGTTCCCTCACATCCATCCATCCCCCACTCCATTAGGGCCACTTCTTGCATCTTGATGCCCATCTTTTCCTCCAAGACCAGTGCAGTGGCCTCTTCACTGGTTTCCCAGTGTCTACTACCCCCTCCCCACTCTCTTTAGGAGTGACCCTCCTAAAGCATGTGTCTGGCCACGCCTGCCCCTCCCTGTGGTGAGCCCTCCCTCAGCTCCCGGCTGTGCTCATTGGAGCTCCTCAGCTTGGTACTGAAGACCTGGTGTGAGCGGGCCCCACCTCGTCCTCCTGAACTCAGCGGTCTGCCCTCTCAAGCTGCACTCCTCACTCCCCTCTTCCATGACTTTACTCAAGCTGTTCTCCAAGGCCTTCGTCCTACCCTCTCAACTCTGACACCAGGCCTGGACCTTCCCAAACTGACTGCCCAGAGACCCTGGGGCCCTGAAGGCAGCACTGGGTGGGGTCAGTGTTGTCCCAGGCCCCTTCTCCAGCCCTTCTAGAAGCTTCTGGAGATCCAGACTGCCTGGGGTGCCTGCTCCATGGGGCCCCCACAGTCTCAGGTGGGAATGATGCTGCCTGTACTTCCTCTTGCTGCTGACAACCAGAGAATGTCTGAGCCACCGGGGGCCCAGAGGTGATCTCTATAATTCCTCCCATTTTACAGATGGAGAAACCGAGGTCCAGAGGGGACGGTGGCCACCTAGCAAGTCAGTGCAGAGCCAGGGTTGGGGCTCTTCCTGCACCTGCTGTCCGGGGTGAGGGCATGGGCTGGGGTAGGACTGTGGAAGGGACAAGACATTCCAGAGGTATGGGCAGGAGGGGCAACCAGCTTATCCTACCTCTCAGGGTAAGAGAGCCTAGCAGGATGGACTCAGGGAGGGGCAGGTGCTTCTACTGGTTGAGCTTACACCCTCATGGGTGGTCTGGTTCTGTCAGGGTTTGCAGTTCTCTGAACTTTACCTGACTGAGGTACAGGATGGGGTAGGGTTTGCCCAGTTGCCCCAGAATGTTATGAATTCAAGGCCCCGGGTCTCCAGCCAGGAGCCTGCCTAGCATATCACATTCCACACCGTGACATGGGGTGATGAGCCGGGGACTTGCACAGAAGTTTTGCGGAGACAGAGAGGAGCGTCTGCTGAGTAGGGCTTGTACTCTGTAAAGAGGGATGGACACAGCCTGCCCTGCAGGAGCGCAGAGTCCAGAAAGAGGCCCACGGGTAAGTCACTGCTTTGGACAAAAGGCTACTTTATGCAGGCTCAAAGTGATGTCAAATTAGATGGCACTACTAGGGAGCTTTTCCAAGTGTCAGGTTACTCATTTCCTGGATGTAATTTCATAGGAGGAACATGGTCAAAATGGAAGCATGTCAATCTAACAGCTGAAGCAGCTTACTCAAGATGCAGAATCAAGGTATGTGCATAGCTTGTCTGTTAGTGATATCATAAACCCTGTGTTCATTCTATTCATTATTTAATGACAGAACACTGTGAATTAGTCTCAGTCCTAGGTTTGCAGAATCCACGGTCTAGAACTAATTTCCCTTTAGTTTTTATAGTTTTTACATTTCCTTCTTTAACTCCCTTAGGGTTTATTTGGGCATATGGTGTAAGATAAAGCTCTAAAATGATCTTTCCCCCAATTGAACTGGGTACATGTGAATTGTAATCTTAGAGATTCACAAAGGTCATGAACACAGTGGAGGCTCAGAGGAGTCCTGCAGTCAGGAAATTTTTATGTATTATTTTCTATTTCACTATAGAATCTGTTAAAAAAACTTCTATGAACGCAATGCAGAGCATCACTTTGGAGTAAGAGGAGATGGCAGAGCAGAACTGAGACAGAGGCCTCCTTGCCTCAGCTTCTACTTGTCTGTGGACCTGGGATCTGGCCTGGAGGAGTGAGATGCAAGTGACCAGTTCTGCTTCCAGGCCCGCAGTCCTAAGAGCTCTGCCAGGAGCCACAAACCATGGATGCCCCAGGGAGGGTGAGGTGGCCTGTCTGACGTTTGGCTAAGATTTACAGAGGACTGTTTGCCCGGGGGCTTGAAGGATGAACAGAAGTGTGTCTTGGAAATGCCTCTGTGAGGGCAGGACTTCGGCAGTGACACTCTGCCAGGGCAGTGGCACAGATCATGCCTCCGGAACCGTGGGACGGCTAGAGCGATTTGAACAGAGACACCAAAATTAACTGCCCACGGGGAAGCCAGGTGAGAACACAGTGCCTATAGTGTGGGCAAAGGTGGGGATGGGTGTCAGCCAGAATAGGTTCAGGGAAGGTACTCAGCAGTCATTTTCCAAGTTCCAGGTCTGCCTTGGTGCAGCCGGGTCTCCTGGGGCCTCATTACAACAGTCAGCACAGAGCACGCACGTGAGCACGCACGTGATGCCCTCCCAAGGCCTCTCCTTCCTCAGGGAGTCTGCAGAGTTCCTTTCCTGTCTGGAACAAGTAACAGGGGAGTTGGGGTGGAGTGAGAGGAGGATATGGGGACCTGGATTTCTAGGAATTAATTAGTGCCCTTCAATGAGATTCGGTTCCCCTCTGGAGGCCAATTAGGGCATCTGGAAACCTGGGAGGTGGGTAGAAGGCAGGCAGGAGTGTGTGTATGCTTGAGGCAGGGCCATCCATTCTGTGTCCTGGGATCTGAGGGCAGAGTAGATCTCAGGGGTACCCTGTTCACTTACAGGAAAAGTGCAAGTGCAAAGATAATCACAGAACTGTTTTCATCATCTAAGAACAGAACTTCAGTGTTGTACTATATGAAGTATCGTATTGCCCCCACCTCCGTAACATTGTCCTATACTGAGCACTCACTAGGGGCCAGGCCCTAGGCTAGCCTAGGTTCATTCATGATCTACCAGCAATGCACAAGGGTTCCAGTTTTCCCACTCCCTTGCCAACACTTGTTTTTGTTTGTTTTGATAATAGCTTTCTGATGGGTGAACTGATATTTCACTGTGGTTTTAATTTGTATTTCCCTTAGTGTGTGCACATGCACACACACAATAATTAGTGATGTTGAACATCGTTTCATGGGCTTTAGGCCAATTGTATATCTTCTTTGGAGAGATGTCTGCAAGTCTTCTGCCCATTTTTAAATTGGATTGTTTGAAGTTTTTTTTTTGTTTGTTTTTTGTCATTGTTACAGTTGAGCTTTGCAAATATTTTCTCCCATTTGGGGGGTTGTCTTTTTACTTCTTTGGATAGTACCCTCTTATGAAGAAAAGATTTTCATTTTGATATAGCCAATTAATTTTTTCTTCTGTTGCCATATTCAAACAGTCATTGCCAAATCCAGTGATGTGGAGTTTTCCTTTATGTTTTGTTCTAAGAGTTTTATACTTTTAGCTCTTACATTTAGGTCTTTGGGATAAGCAGTTTTTAATCTTAATTCATTTAGTGAACAACTATTGAACACTCACTACTTGATGGATCCTGGACCAAGTGCTTGAGGATACAATGATCAGCACAACTCTTAAGTCAGGTATGTGATAGACAAGGTGCTGGAGCTTTGTTTCTCTGAAACAAACTGTCTAGAGTCACATGACTAGTAAGTGTGGCAACCGTGACCGCTTAGGTCCCATGACTTCAATTCTACACTCCTGTGCTATGTCCCTCCCCTGTTTGCACACGTCCTACAGCTTCTGCATGCCCAGAAACCAAGACCATAATCCTCAGTGAGGCAGCCTGGGACTCTTTATTGAGCTAGCCCACATTTCCAGCCTCATGTCTCTGCAGCCACCTAATTTAGGTACCCCTCCCTTGAGCCAGTGAGTAGGTCTAAGTCCAGAGCCCCATGTTCTCTGTTTCTCTCTTCTTCTTTGCCTCAAACCTACTTACAGTTAAAAGGCCTAGCTGACAACCCACCTGCTCCAGGAAGATTCTCCTAATCTCTCAGCCCTTACATATCTCTTCCCTTCCATTTCCAAAGAATGCAAAGGCTCACTATTATACGGCTCAAGATTATACTTCTTTGTATCCCATTAAAATCTTTCTAATACCTGAATCAGTATCAGATTTGGAGTCAGAGAAAACTGAACTTGAATCCTCTTTCTGCTACTATGTAAAGTCATATCATCTCTCTCAAAACTTTTCTCTTCTATAAAATGAGGACAGAGATGCCTGCATGGCTGGTTTGTTGTGAGACTTAGAAACGAGACCTAAATCCCCTGACACAGTGCACAGCCCAGAGCAAGTGCTCGGTGATACTGATTGAGGGTTCTCTCTCCTGTCCCTCCTCCCTTCCCCCATCCACTCTCCCCTTCCCCCTGTGACCCAAGGGTGCGTCTGCTCATCTCACCTGGATCATGGGTGTGGGCCCCTCCTGTAACTCAGGTTCTCTCACTTTCCTGGCAGTGCAGCAGGAAAATCCCCCTGTGCTCTTCCCTTCCCCCAGCCCAGGATTGTTATTCTAGAGAAAGAAATGAGGCCCATAATGGGAAAGTGACTTACTTAAAGTCACCCTTAGTAGCTGGGTCTGCCACTCCTGTATCTAATGTTTTATTTATTTATTTAATTTATTTATGTTACATTATTATTTATTTATTTATGTATTTTGGGGATTGTTTATTTCATCAATAGCACTATTTAAACTATAATTATTTATTTCTTGTTGTCTGTGTTCTCACTTGAATACAGGCTCCATGAAGATTGGATTCTGTCTAGTTCATCTCTCCATTTCCTATGCCAAGCTTATAGTGTTTTCTTCATAAATGCTCATTAAACGAACAAATTTTATCAATTTGATTGAAATAAAAGGCAGTGGGGAATAGTTAGTTCAGAATGTCCATTGAAGGCAGCCTTTTTTAAGAACATTGAGATCACTGAATCTATAAGCAACTTTTAACATTCCAAGCGGTCAGATTCAGATGTCTTTAAAGGCATCTTGGTCCAAGTCTCTCATCTTTCAGAGAGAGAACTGAGGCTCAGAGAAGGGTAAGGACTTGGTGAGGACACATTGCAAAGTTGGGACAAAGCTTAACTGGAACCCTGGTCTCCGGCCAAGCCTAGGTGTGTTTCCCTCCCCAGACCCCCCACCCCCACCTCCCAAAGGCGAGGGGAGGGCTTTGCTCTCCAAGTGCCTTGCTCTCATACATCGCTGACTGCTTCCTGAGCTCCCTGTGTTCTGAGCTCCCTCTCTGGGGAGACCTCTCTGTAGCCTCAAATGCAGGCTGAGCTCTATGCCACCCTCCCAGCGTGGAGAGGGGATAGATAGAAGATAAAGTTCCAGAACAATAGACTCATACCATAGAACCCCACCCTCCATCTGTCCAGATAGGGATATTGAGGCCAAGACGGGGCCAGGGACTTATTCAAGATCATACAAGCGAGCTCCATGCACTGGCTCAGCTGTCCAGTCTTCTGTGGAGGAAGCACCGGTGAGCTGATCCTGGCCCCCTGCCCTGGTTACCCAGCTCGGCCACAGGCTCTATGGTGAGGGATCCAAAACCCACTCACAGTGAGATGCAAGTTGATCATCCCCCTGTTTGGTTCTCTTATACGATGGAGAGAATCATCTCTCTCACACAGGCATGTTATGAAAATCAGATGAAACAACATGTCCAGAGACTTCTTCAGAAAACTCTGTGATGTTGGGGACTTGAGTCTCCTTAACCCCAAATCCTCACCCATCTTAACTGGATCTTCAACATCACCCAGAAATCTTAGTGTCAGCTCACTCTCCCGTTCTCTGCGCCACTATTGGCTACTTCAAATCTTCACTCTCCTCAACTCAAATCTCTCTCATCCTTCACCCCTACTTCTCCTTGCCCACTTCCCTTCTCCTCCCGCTCCCCACATCCTTCTCCACTTTCTTTGAATTCTTCTTCTTCTATTTCTCTTCCACGTCCTTCTTTCTCCTTCCTCCTCATCCTCCTCTCCATCTTCTGCTCAAGATTATCCTTTCTATTCTTGGTTCTCTGCATTTACATTTAAATTTTAGAATCAGTTTGTTAATTTCCACACATACATGCACAAAACTCTGCTTGGATTTTTCTTAAAATTTCGTTGTACATATATATCAGTTTGGGAAAATTTAACATTTTTACAACAGGAAGTATATAAGCAAGATATATCCCTCTATTTATTTAGGTCTTTTAAATTTCTCTCAATAGTGTGTTGAACTTCCCATGCAGAGGTCTTAACACATGTAGTGAATTGGATGGGATATTGAATTAACACTGGCTTAATATCGCTAGCATTTGAGATGGTCGTTATAAGGACCATGAAGTTAGTCAGTTGTTGCTAAAGTAACATTGTGTGTGTGTGAGAGTGGGTGGGTGTGGAATCTCACTCTGTCTGTTTCTTCCCATCTTTGGTTTCCTTTTTCATGAAGCATCCTTTTTTTATGAACTTGATGATGATGAATTCTTTTAGCTTTTGTTTGTCAGAAAATGTCTTTCATTTTTAAAGAATACTTTCACTATAAGGTTTAGAATTTTTGGTTGACAATTATTTTCTCTCATCACTTTGAAAATATTATTACATTATCTTCTATTTCCATTGCTTCTGTTGAAAAATCTATTCTCAATGTATAAAGGTTGTTCCCTGAAGGGAATTTGTCTTTTTTCTCTGGCTGCTTTAAGAATTTGTATTGGTCTTTGGTGGTGGCTCAGATGGTAAAAAATTTTCCTGCAATGCAGAAGACCCAGGTTTGATCCATGGGTCAGGAAGCTCCCCTGGAGAAGGGAATGGCTACCTATGTCAGTATTTTTTCCTGGAGAATTCCTAGACCGAGGAGCTTGGTGGGCTACATTCCATGGGGTTGCAAAGAGTCAGACACAACTGAGCGACTGACACTTTAGTTTTCATTTGGTTTTTAACAACTTTACTATGATAACCTTGTTTATCCCAGTCAGGGTTTGTTTTAAAACCCAGTCAGTTTTAAAAAATTCTTAGTCATTAGATCTTCATATATTGCTTCTTTCCCATTATCTCCCTCCATTGCTTCTGGAGTTCCCTGTTAGACTTTCTTCATTCCATAAATCCCTTATTCTCTCTTCTGTATTTATCATGCTTTTCTTGCCTCATGCCTAATTCTGGATATTTTATTCCAACATGTTCCAGCTCATTTTTTTGATTCAGCAGTCTAATTTGCTGTAAAACTCATCCATTGAATTTTAATTTCAGTTATATTTTTTGGTATTTTTCAATTTTAGAATTATTATCTGGTTCTTTACCATAGTTTCCTGTTTTCTGTTGAAATTCTCTATATCTCTAAGTGAGTTTGGAAAAATATCTAATATTAAATATTTCTTCCTCTTTATTCTTTCCTTTCTAATTCTTTCAAAGTAGTCCTCCAATTTCCTATTGGTTTCTCAGTTATATCTATTCTTTTGTTAACTTCAATAGATTGTTGTTGTTTTAGTCGCTAAGTTGTGTCTGACTTTTGCCACCCCATGGACTGTAGCCTGCCAAGCTCTTTTGCCCATGGGATTTCCCAGGCAAGAATATTGGAGAGGGTTGGCATTTCCTTCTCCAGGGGATCTTTCCAGCCCAGGAACTGAACCTGTGTCTCCTGCATGGGCACACGGATTCTTTACCACTGAGCCACCAGGAAAACCCAATTTCATAGATAGTATTCTTTATTTCCACTGTTATACTTTTCATCTTTACTGTTTCTGTATGGATCTTTTCTATTTCCTTGATTGTGTTATACATGTGCTAACTTCTTACTGTGTCATTATACATATATTTAATAAGCTAACTATAATTCCTGGTCTCTCTTCTTCAATATTTCTGATATTGTTGAAGTACGTTACCCAGAATATTGTTTTTCCTTTAAAAGGTTGTGCACTTCAAATGCCTTGTTATTTTAGTCTACTAATTCATGTTCCCCTGTTGATATTGGTTTAGCACTATCAGGAAAGGCAAGACCCAAATTCTGTCAGTCCCAACTAGCTCAGGATGTACAGAGCAGCTGAGCCTCCAGAAAACCATGATCAATCCCTCCCTCCCCAACAAGACAGTCCTCAGAAGGTCAAGTAACCCCCTTTCCCCACAGGCAGAACAGTCAGTTTTAAAAAATTCTTAGTCATTAGATCTTCATATATTGCTTCTTTCCCATTATCTCCCTCCATTGCTTCTGGAGTTCCCTGTTAGACTTTCTTCATTCCATAAATCCCTTATTCTCTCTTCTGTATTTATCATGCTTTTCTTGCCTCATGCCTAATTCTGGATATTTTATTCCAACATGTTCCAGCTCATTTTTTTGATTCAGCAGTCTAATTTGCTGTAAAACTCATCCATTGAATTTTAATTTCAGTTATATTTTTTGGTATTTTTCAATTTTAGAATTATTATCTGGTTCTTTACCATAGTTTCCTGTTTTCTGTTGAAATTCTCTATATCTCTAAGTGAGTTTGGAAAAATATCTAATATTAAATATTTCTTCCTCTTTATTCTTTCCTTTCTAATTCTTTCAAAGTAGTCCTCCAATTTCCTATTGGTTTCTCAGTTATGTCTATTCTTTTGTTAACTTCAATA